ACTATTTTGGACATTGTGTTTAACAGCGAAATGGGTCTGTAATTCTTTGGATCTTTGACTGGTCCGTCTTTATAGATAGGTGAAATTTTTGCAGTTTTTAGATAACAGTTAGTTACTATCGAACTCTTCTCTTTTAAACATTTCATTAATAAGTTTTGTGAGGATTGGAGATATTACATCTGTACAGTTCTTAATATCCTTTGTATTTATATTATCCTCCCCTGGGGTGCAGTTCATTTTTAAATGCTTTATTATTTTAGTAATTTCATTGCAGTTTGTATCTTTAAAAAAAATGGTGTCCTTAAAGTTGTAATAAATACAATAATTGACGAAAAAGCATTAGGTTATATTGAATTAGAAGACCCCTATTTAAAACTTGCTACAAAATATCTTTTAAAATCGGAATTAGCAGAAAAATATCTTCCAGAAAGTATTTTTCACAATCCTTTTGCTTTATAAACTTGTAACGGAAAAAATAGTTGCAGATTGAAAGCAGACGTAAATATATAAAATCATTTTCCAATAGAAAGTGATAATTTCATTGCTTTTTATTTGTTTATATTTTACAACTATTTTGACGGCTTAGTAGGTTTTAATGAAAGAAATAGATTTAAAATTGATTTCCTAGGCAGAATAATTTTTAACGATCAAATTCAAATTCCTATTCAATATAAAACCAAACCAAAAAATGATACGCAAATTGTAAAGGTCAATAAATATGAAATACTTACTTGGGGGTCGTAATAATAAAAGAACAATAATTATTAGTTATAACTATTAAAAAACTCTATCTGTAGCTGAAAAAGGTTTTGCGTATATTGAAATAAGAAAAATTACAGATAACAGCAAGTCATAGAACTAACAGAACCTTTAAATTGTATTCCCTCTCCCGATTTAAAAAAATAACATTTTGAAATTTTTATGTAGAAAATCTAACATCAAATTTAAAACCACAAAATAATACTAATATATTGGGTACATACCGGATACATACCTTGGGTATTTACCCAAATTTCAATATACCGGGTACTTGCTCATCACTGGTTCGATAGCATTGTGTAAATTCAAACATTGTCAACAAAATATTTAAAGAATACGAATTGCACATCATTTTTAAATAAATAAGTGTTTTTTCTCAAAAGAGAGGAAGGCAGAAGTCTTACTCGACAAATTTTGTTCAATTGCACACCTAAATCGCGCACGTTATTTGTGTTTTGCGTTGCAAGTAAAAATTCTTTATATCAAGGCTGATATGCTTATATAGTTACGTTAGTTTGTGTATTTTATCTAAGTGATAATGGTAAATTATTGTGTTTTAAATTGTAAATAAAATTTAAGAACTTAATCGTTGCATTTTCATGTTTTGCCAAAGGTTCGAATTCAGTACGTATATTTGTTGGTGCAGAATTAACTAATGATAACGTTACCTAATATAATTTATATTTAAGGTTGGATCTTTTTAAGAAATCTAACAAAAAATAATTGTTGTACAAACATAACCTTAAAATTGAATATTTTTATATTTTAGTCCGCTAAAAAACGCCGACAACTGCATTTTAAACGACAATTCAAGGCAACATAATATTATATCCCTGCTTAAAAACCCGGGTGATTGCAGGCATGTGCGGGTGAAAAACCAAGCTGGTTTTACGCCCGGTTATATATTTTTTTTGCCTACCATGCCAGATTTTGCCCGCACGCCTGCTTTCACCTGCGCTGCCGGGTGTAAATATCACCCGCAAACGCCCGGCATTGTCGTTAATTATATACGAGTATAAGAGTATGCTTTCGCCTGATTTCACCCGCGTTTGCCTGCATTTTGATTTTCTGTTTTTGTTTGCATTCGCCCAGTTTCATCCGCGAACGTATGTTTCGTCCGCGAACGTCTGCTTTAACCCGCGAACGTCTGCTTTCACCCGCAAACGTCTGCCTTCGTTGCTTTCATCCTGTTTCACCCCCAAACGTCTGCTTTTACCTGCGAACACCTACTTCGCTTTGTCTACGAACGCCCGGTTATACCTGTCTTTCGTCCGGTAAGTGCACTCCTGCAATCATCCGCGATCGCCGGCATTCAGTTTTATCTACTTTCGCCCGGTTTCATCCGCAAACGTCGGCTTTCGTCTGCGAACGCCTGCTTTCAGCTGCGTACGTTTGTTTTCACCCGCAAACGTCTGTTTTTGCCTGTTTTCACCCGCAAACGTCTACTTTTGCCTGTTTTCACCCGCAAACGTCTGCTTTTATCTGCTAACGCCTGTTTCGCTTTGTCCGCGAACATCCGGTTATACCAGTCTTTCGTCCGGTTAGTGCACCCCTGTAATCATCTGCAATCATCCGCGATCGCCGAGCAGGCGTTTGCAGGTAAAATTAGACGTTTGCGGGTGAAAACAGGCAAAAGCAGACGTTTGCGGGTAAAAACAGACGTACGCAGGTGAAAGCAGGCGTTCGCAGACGAAAGCCGACGTTTGCGGATGAAACCGGGCGAAAGTAGATAAAACTGAATGTCGGCGATCGCGGATGATTGCAGATGATTGCGGGGGTGCACTAACCGGACGAGACAGGTATAACCGGGCGTTCGCAGACAAAGCGAAGCAGGCGTTCGCAGGTTTAAGCAGAAGTTTGCGCGTGAAAAAGTAGGAAAGCAGACGTTCGCGGATTAAATCAGGCGTTCGCGGGTAAAAGCAGACGTTTGCGGACAAAATCCGACGTTTGCGGTCGAAACCGGGCGAAAGTAGATAAAACTAAATGCCGGCGTTCGTGGGTGATTGCAGATGATTGCGGGGGTGCACTAACCGGACGAAAGACAGGTATACCGGGCGTTCGCGGATAAAGTAAAACAGGCGTTTGCGGGTATGGGCAGAAAAGATTTTCACCCGCAATCACCCGGTTTTGACGCATATTTCAATCGGAATTCACGCCCGCAATCACCCGGCTTTTTCAGCAGGGATGTAATACATAATATACCGGTTCTTGGTATTTTACTGTTGATACTGTTGATACTTTCTTAATAAGTGCTAAATACTGTTTGAATTTAGACGACTTATTTGTTTAATTATTTTTACTGAATTGAAATGTTTACAATTTTTCCGTAAATCATTACTAAAATCATTTTAGTAAAATGTGTATTTATTCTAATCTTATAGGTACAATTTATATTTAAAGGGACTGTATGCAATTTATTTGTTCATTCGGATTTTCACGGTTTATTAAACACCCAACAGCACAACAAATGGGTACCACGGTATTTTTTTCGATATTATTAACATTTTCCGGCTTTATTCTCAAAAACACTAGTTTGTTACATATGCGTTTGACAGCTGCTTATTAAAAGCTGAATTCTGGTGACGATGATAACGGCCGTAGTGGCGGTACTAGCGATGCTTCTTTAGCGTATACTTAAAAAAACTAAATAATAAAAAGTTAAAATATTAAGATAATAAAATATAATTCATTATCATATTATATTATTATACGATAGAGGCTATAATGCTCATAATATCGAGTGTAATACTATACTTAGTCTACTCCAATAAGTAGATAATTACATAATTTTCAAAAATAAATAAATAAAATCTGACATCTGTCAAACTATATATAGTATATATATATATATATATATATAGTAATTATCAAAACGACTTGCATACTATACTTTATCTACGACGAACACAAAAAGAATTTAAAGCCAATTTTATTTGTTAAACATTTGACATATGACTCTTTCAAAGGATATAACCTCACTTTTTCCAATTTATAATAAGGCCAACTTCAGCCCGTGACTAAAATGCCCAAAAGCCACTGCTGCTAACTTCAACCCGTGACTAAACGATATAAAGTCACAGTTCGTCAATGTAGGAGTAGATAAAACAATTTATGTAACCGGACCGTTTTTGGAACTGAGCCGCTGGCGAACCGGTCCATGGACCGAAATTTTGTTACGGTTCACAACCCTGATTTAAACGTTATCATTTATTTTAAAATATTAGACATTCTGATTGTTGAAATTGTGGGCAACTTTTGAAAATTTTAGTTAAATCCGGCTACATGCTACTCTAAACACATCGTCAAGGTGTGGATCAGTTAGCCGAAATCTGTTCGCATTTTTGCATATGTGACGCGATCCAAGAAAAATCAAATTTTAATGAAAGGCGATTGAAGTTTGCGCGGCATAGGGGTTTGTGTAACGCCCGACTTCAAAAATTAATAGCCATGTCAATTCCATCTAGACCTTTTAAAAAATTATAATCTCAAAAATGATTTTTTGGACGCTAAGCCCCTTTTCTTGGATCGTGTCCAATATTTCATTTCAGCGTTTCAAAGTTTTCGGGTACCAGGTACCCGGTACATACTAATTTCCAATTTTTTTCTTATTCCTTTACTTCTTTTTTATTTAAAAATGGCCCCAGATTTGAGTCGGTTCAATAAATTTATTCAATAACTTGGCGTTGTCAAATGCTAATGCAGCAAGTTGTTTCACAGCGGCGGTTTGTAAGTGCCAGGGATTTTATACTAATACAAGATTAACAAATGAGTTTTTGCGGGTGTTTGCCTACTCGCGCCCTGCGACTATAAATCTCCACCATTTCTTACAAAAACGTGTTGGAGGGGATTGTCTGCCGTGTATTCATAATCAAGAATTTATTAAAATATTTAAATACTGTAAGAATTTTGTTTAAAATCTTGATTCGATCGCTAAAGCAAGAACCCTGCAGATAATTTAGGTGTCCAGTGCAAGAAGCACAATAATGAAATTTCACAGTAGGCAAGAAAAACGCTCTCCTAAAAAGTTACCTTTAATAAATTAGAATTTGTTTAATTGCATATTCACTCCTAGCTGCAATCGACAAACTCTATCCCAACTAAAGCCGTAAGGCTAATTTATAGAAGCGTATTTCTTACCTTCTGTTAAATTTTATTGTTTTGAAGATACCTGCTTCTTACACTGAACCCCTCAAGTAGAATATGGGGTGGTAAAAAAATTTGTATAATTAAAATATACATGCCTAAATGTTGCTGATGTGGATTTATAACCAAGGACTGCATACAAAGCTGTAGTTTTGGAACTATGTGTTTGATCAAAAATCCTACAAATGCACCGTTGGAAAGTGCTCTTTGCCATGGTTTAAGTATAAACTTCGCCGATTTATCAGAAGGATGCCAATTACTTAAAGCAACACCCAATTTTTCTTGAATTGTAGGGTAAACTGATAACTGCAACTTTGAATCTAAAACAAATATAATATTAAGGCTGGTAACCACGACCGGTCGTAGGACTAAAAACCGTTAAAGAACATAACCGGTTTAACCGTAATCGTGACCGATTAAAGCTGTCACCGGTTTAACGGTTACTGGTTTAACCGTAACTGAAACCGGTTTAACCGTAACTGAAACCGGTTTAACCGCGACCGTGAACATAAACAAACGAGTCATAGTTTGAGCTCTTAGTAGGGATGCGCAAATTGCTTAAAACATCGATATTGACTTTAAATGATATATTAAAAACACAATATCGATGTCATGTATATAAATATTGATTTTTTCAAAACTTAAACAAATAAAAGTTAGTAAAACAAAAGTAGATATATTAAAAAAATAGAAACAAATATAAACATTTAAAAAGAAATAAGAAAATTTATAGTTTTTTCATGTTTTTTAGTGCAGGCAACATAGTTTCGGAGAAAAGAAACTGCTTGCTACCGGAAAATGTTAATAAATTGATTTTTTTACATCAAAATTCAATAATAAAAAAATATAGTTTTGTTATTATTTTTTATCACTTAACTATAATTTATTTTGAAATGTTTTTCATACTTAGATAATGTTTATGTTTTTGTTTTTTAGTTTTTAGTAAAATTGGTGGTATTTTTATTATTCGAATTTCATTTTTATTGAGTAAGTATCTATTTACAGTTACAGTTAAACCAGTTACGTATAAACCGGTGACGGGTTTAACTGGTCACGGTTACGGTTAATATATATACATTCAATCGCAGTCACGCTTAATAAGGGTATATAAACAACGATCAGCGGCAACGGAGCTCACTCCACGTCTAACTCGCAGCAGAGCAGCAATAGCAGCTAAGCAGATAAGACCTGAAGATGGTACATGAGATTGTACCGAAACGTCGTCAGACATACGGTTCTTTTAAGAACCAAAAACCGACAACACGGAGTAGATCCCGGAAAACTATTAATATATATATATATATATTAGGGTGCTTCAAAAAAAATTTTTTAATTGTTTTTTTTGCTCTTACCCTCTCAAATGTTTCTATTTAATATAAAAAAAATCCTCACCAAATATAGGCGTTCCAGCTCACCTCTAAGAGGTCGCTGTTTTTATTTTACTTTCCCATTAAATTAACATGGGAAAAGATAATTTTATGATACAGGGGTATAAAATTCTAAACATAAAATTATTTTTTCCCATGTTAATTAAATGGGAAACTAAAATAAAAACAGCGACCTCTTAAAGTTGAGCTGGAACGCCCATGTTTGGTGAGGATTTTTGTATATTAAATAGAAATATTTAAGAGGGTAAGAACGAAAAAAAACAATTAAATTTTTTTTTGAACCACCCTAATATATATATATATACATACAAAAGTGTTCTTTTAATTCCACCCTTACTTCCTTAGAAGTCCCAGATACAAATTAAATGGCTTGTGCGGGTTAGGAGTTGCAGCGCTGACCACTACACCACCGACGGTATATTTTATATATACAATGTGTCTTTACGTTGTCTACATATGGAAAACATTTAAAATTTAAAATTAACAGTTCTCACAAACATTTAAACATTTAAATAAGACTTAAACTTTAAGTGATGAAGATAAAATGGTGGCTACAACCCTAGAAGTGATCGAATAAGCTCAAAACACCATTAACCATCTAAATCAAAGTATATACAGTGGTGGACATGCTTATTTATTCCGTTTAAAAACAAATACGCATGCAATTTAAACCGTAAGTGAGATAAACAACCATCCTTAAACTGATTGGTTAACAAACTTCATTCCCCTCCGTCATGAGCCTGCAGTAGAAATTTTTAAAACAATTAAATCAAAACGGTTAATTGTCCGCCAATGTTTTACTCCCCCTCCTATAACTATCTGTGTCATCTCACCACTCGAGTCGAGTGACGACAACCTTGTAGATTTGAAGTATCATTCAAACGACATAAGGCTATAGTCGATCATTTTAAAATTCTTTTAAAATGTCATTATTTTGTTCACAAAAACGAAATATCTTGTGAATATTTTTTTAGAAATGTGGAAAATAAACGACGGACACTTGCCTGCTATTAGGGCTAAAATTTGTTAATGCATTAATTCATTATTGGCCCTAAGATGCTGAAATCCATACATTTTTGACTGCGCATATCCACACATAAAAAAACACAGGGAGCCAAGTCCGGTGATCTTACTGCCCACTTATAACGCGTTCTGGAAAAGTGTTTTGCAAATATTCTGTTTGTGTTTGGCGGCATAAAATTTGTGAGGATTCGTCCTGGACCAATACCGTTTGTTTATGAAATTGTGCCTACCATGTAAAGTAAATGACGACTCATCGGTGAAAAGGTTATTTTGTGTAAAATTGGTATGCCTATTCGCCATTTCCATAACAGTTTCATGCGACGGTATTAAAGTTTTTCAAACTGTTCAGCTTGTTTGATTAACTGGGTCGGATCCTGTTCGATGCTTGCAAAAATAGTTACACAATTTTAAATTGTTGCTTTTGCTGGTAAGGGCCTATTCGGAAACATATTGGGAAATGATCGCTGAATTTGTCGATCTGACATCACACTTATATGCCACGTAATAAATTGATTTTTTTCTTCCAGAGTATAGACCATTTTTATTTGAGAACATTTTAAATTTTACAATAATACCACAACTGTTGTTTCAACACATTTCCTGATCTGAGTCGGAGTCCGAAGCGACAAGTTGTGTCGTGGGCAGACTACCCCACCACTCCGATTACAAAATTCCCACTTCTCACGTCTCATATTGCATCTACAGGGTGAGTCGGGAGGAACGGACCAAACTTCAGGAGTGTATTATACACATGAAAATAATGTAAAAAAACTCATATGTTCTTATCCGATTTTTATTTGTTTTCAAATTATAGCACAAAACAAAAGTTCATACATTAACGTTATTTTAATCATAGCGTTCTTTTAATAAATGTTCGAAAATATAGCCATTGACCTCTAAACATTTTCTGCTTCATCTACGAAGAGTGCCTGTTGCTCTCCTAATTGATTGACGTCTGTCTTTTTTAATAACGGCTGCAGTATTTTGAATACGTCGAATTAGGGCATCACGAGTGTCCACTTTTACTTTATAAACCTCATTTTTAAACCAGCCCCATAAACAATAGTCTAGTAGTGTGAGGTCTGGGGATCTTGGAGGCCAATTAATAGGACCACAACGCCCTGGAAATGTTTCGTCCAAATGTTGCTTAACGTGACGGGCGAAATGTTCAGGAGCTTCATCGTGCTAGTAGTGGTGGTCCTATTAATTGGCCTCCAAGATCCCCAGACCTCAAACCACTAGACTATTGTTTATGGGGCTGGTTTAAAAATGAGTTTTATAAAGTAAAAGTGGACACTCGTGATGCCCTAATTCGACGTATTCAAAATACTGCAGCCGTTATTAAAGAAGACAGACGTCAATCAATTAGGAGAGCAACAGGCACTCTTCGTAGACAAGGCAGAAAATGTTTAGAGGTCAATGGGTATATTTTCGAACATTTATTAAAAGAACGCTATGATTAAAATAACGTTAATGTATGAACTTTTGTTTTGCGCTATAATTTGAAAACAAACAAAAATCGGATAAGAACATATGAGTTTTTTTACATTATTTTCATGTGTATAATACACTCCTGAAGTTTGGTCCGTTCCTCCGGACTCACCCTGTATATTGCTATAGCATCTTTGTTTACATGCGGATTATTAGCGCATCACCACCACTGCATATGAAAAAATTTATTAAAAATGTATGGCGCACCAAAAACCAAGTGAAATACTTTTAGGAAAATGTACTTGGCTTGCTTTGGACATATATTCAACAATTTTAAGCCATGGCCATGCCAAGCCAAGCCATGCATCGTCTTCATCATAATAATTATTGGTAATATATTTAATGCTTGATATAATATAATAGAACAAAATATATTTAATGCTCGATATAATATAATAGAAAAAAAAATAATATAATATACAGGGTGAGTTTTAAGTTGACGCGTTCCTTTTAACAGCGTGTAGAAATCAGATAGACAAATATTTTAAGTAACTTTTTTATCAAAACTCAAAAATAAGCAAGTTATAGCCCTTCAAAGTTTAATTAAATTTTGAGCCGGTCCTGGCTATTGTTAACAAAAAACATAACCATAAAAATAAAAATAACAAAATAAACAATGCAAAATGTCATCTTTTACAACAAACATTTAAACCAAAATGACACATTTAGCAATGCCAACAGAAATTGTTCGAAATTGTCCCCGCTGTGGTCGATACAAAGTTGCGTGCGTTGTAGCCATGCTTCTGTACATGCTAGTAGTATACGAAAGGGGTTTTCCGCGAATTATTTGAGATGCATCTTCGATTCGTGCTATCAATTCTTCGAACGTATTTACTGGGTTTTTGAACACTAAGTTTTTTAACCACCCCCACAAGAAAAAATCCAAAGGGTTTAGATCCGGCGATCTTGGAGGCCACGCGATAACTCCTTCACGACCGATCCACTGATTAGGAAATTGTTTATTTAAAAAAATTTTAACTTCACGCCTAAAATGAGGCGGCGGCCCTTCGTGCAATAGCCACATGTTGCGTATTACATTTTCAGGTACATCTTCCAGGAAAACATAGATGACCGAAGGCAAAACGGGAAGAATATTTTTCAAAAAATGGAGGTAATCATCGCCGTTTAAACGATTTGGTAAAAATAAATGGTCCAATTAACATGCCATTTATGATGCCTGCCCACACATTAACGGAAAAACGATCTTGAAAATTTGTTCTTCGTACATCTTTAGGATTTTCTACAGCCCAAACATGTGTATTGCGAAAATTATTTATTCCATTGCGGGTAAACATGGCTTCATCCGTCACCAAAATCCGTCTTAAAAAGTTGTCATTGTTTCTATTTTCCTCTAAAAGCCAGGTACAAAAATTTACTCTGCTTGTAAAATCCTCTGACTTCAAAGCTTGAACCCTCTG